GTGTGTGTCTGTGTGTGCGTATATATAATTTGTAAATATGTGTAATATATCTTTTTACTTAAAATCATATATTTTTACAATGTTGCTTGAGCTGTTACTGATGTTTGAGTTTTGTTTTCAATGATGAATCAGTAATAAAGCTTCGCTAGTCAATAGAAGACTTTCTTTATAACATGCCTTTGTGTTATCTGTCTTTTTCTTTCTGACATTCGCCTTAAAACTGCAAAAATAATTTCAATTGTGTATAAGGTGAAAAAATAAGAAAATGAAGGTTTTATACCAACCCTAAAAGCTCTTCCTAGAAATGTCAGTAAAGTCCAGTATGGTCGCCACAAACATGACAACCATTTATTTCTTTTCTTCTTCAAATTTCCTACTCAAACTCAAACACAGTTAAAGAAGCCTTACCGAGCATGTAAACCATGCACAGCTTCAAAATATTTCACTCTGATGAAATATTCAAAGACCCCCCCCCCCTCTCCTCTCCTAATATGCATAAGACCTCTTCACTAAAATGTTCGGAAGCAGAAGAGACATAAGACTGGTTAGTCAATCGTTGAAGCATGCTTGAAAGCTAAAGGTCAACATAACAGAAGTCATAACCTCCATTTTACCATTATTAGGGCTTTAAAATTTCAACAAAAAAATCCCCCCGCTTTTGACCGAACCTTACTTCTGCAGCACAGCAGCCTCCATGTAACTGTTAATATCAGGACGAAAAAAAGACAAGGGAAGTAAGCGATATAATACTTTTCTGTCCACTTTAAAGGGAGAAAATCGAGGACTCCATTAAAAAAATAGATAGGCCTATTAATAATGTGTAAATTGTAATGTTACAAAGACTAAAATTTACACCAGTGTTTTTTTAACCTTTGTGGTGGTACATGTACTGAACCTTTTTTTAACCTCTGTGGTGGTACATGTACTGAACCTTTTTGAACCTTTGTTGTGGTACATGTACTGAACCTTTTTGAACCTTTGTGGTGGTACATGTACTGAACCTTTTTTTACCTTTGTGGTGGTACATGTACTGAACCTTTTTTAACCTCTGTGGTGGTACATGTACTGAACCTTTTTTAACCTTTGTGGTGGTACATGTACTGAACCTGCCAAGTTCCATATGTGCTTTCACCAGTCACTTCCAGTGGGGTGGAGGGAACGGCCAAACACACAGAAGCGCGCATGCGTGCGTCTGTGTGTGTGTGTGTGTGTGTGTGTGTGTGTGTGTGTGTGTGTGTGTGTGTGCGTGTGTGTCTGTGTGTAGCTTGACTGACACCAAACCCCTAATGCTGACTCTCAGCTGACTCTGAACCACTGGGGTTTGATCCAACTCAGGTTAAGAACCAATGATGATATAGTTTTCCTTTCCCATTAAAAAAAAATTCAAAACTGTATATTCCACATTGATATGGTAAAGGGGAGAAGCAAGACAGACGCACAGAAAGAACAGACGGAAAGGAAAGAAGTTGAACCTGCCAGTGGAGCCTTCCAGCTTTTAACTGATCAAAATGTGGTAATGTAAGATGATGTGTGTATGTGTAGAATAACTTAAGAGTAAAAGAAATAGACATTATAAACTTTTGTAGTTTCAAATTACACAAAATGAGAATAAACTATTTCAAAAACTTTTACACACACACACACAAACACACACATATATATATTTATAATATATAAACAAACAAAAAATCAAATAAACTAAAAACAAGCAAGCAAACAAGCAATGTTTATGTAGGGTTTATATTTTAATATTCTTTTGGGTAGATATACATTAAATCAACAGTCTTCCATGGTGAAAGTATAAACAAAAGGTTTTCTGGTCGTTGTGTCTCAAGTAGCTGCAAGTTGCACCTGCTTTGCATCTCGACTGTATCCACGATCATCTAGACCATTTTTGCATTCGAGCAATTAAAACAAAAGTTTGCCAACCTTTTAATTTCATTATTACAGCTTGATATCTTCATTTTAAAATCACTGTACGTATTAAACTTTCAATCACGGCCAAACAATACAGTCGTCACTTCAGGGTCTAATCCCTAAATAATGCACATTGCATTTCAAAGGATATAAAAAATGAATAACTGCACAAATCTTGAGGCTTTATCTGTCTGAAACAAAAACATAAAGTAACCCCCATATAAGCAGAACTTCATGAAATCATGATCATGGACATGCAAGATGAGAAATAAATATGGCTGACATTGAACCTAATATGGAGGCCGTCTGGCAGAAGTCGTTAACAGATGGCACCAAAGCTATTTCTGTCTTCTGCCTTCCTCTGCTAGACTACCCGAACAGTGAAAACATACCTACCCCCACCGTTCCCCTACCGTGCATCTAATCAAGCCCCAAATGGTATACCTTTGGAGACCCATAAGGCCAATCACATAGCCATAAACCACTCTTCTGGCTCCTCTTGATTATTTGTGTATTTACTGGTATTGACAATAGTACCTGTATCTTCACAATCTTGTAAGGATTAACCCCTCTCCTTCCACTCCCCTGAGCACATATATGTCTTTGCCAACTCTCTCAACATTGAGAGTGACATGCAGAGAGATATGGAGAGAGAGAAATAGGAAAGAAAATAGAGAGAGGAAAAAAAAGAGAGAGAGAGAGAGACAACAAAAGCAAATTTCTCTCTGTCAAATAAATTACGTCAGTCATTGTTATATATTCAAACTTTACACAGAAGGCAGTCATCATTACGAAGAACAATCTGCCTCCCTGGATGAGTCACTCGCCGAGTTTCCATCATCACTGAGGTCAAGGTCACACCAAAGTCGCGTTCCTCGTGACCCTCGTTTGCCTGAGGTGTCTTTCAACGAGCGCTCTCCTTCACGGAGTCGTTTTGACCGATCTCGTTTGCTGAGACGCTTACGACGAGGAATCCATGACAACGGCCTCTCAACTTTTGACTTTTCCACAGATTTCTTTTGATTTCTTGACTGAAGGTCACCTTGTACCTGGAACACCTGGGACTCACTGTTAGCTGGGGGACCAGAGTCTGAACAATGTCGAATTCTTTCAAAATCCACCTCGCCATCTGGTGTCACGGAAGATGAGAGCTCCGCTTTAGACTTGTCTATAAGATACTGGTTGAAGGACTGAGGACGCACAGTCTCACCACGGCTATCGCCAGTTGGACTTCTCACATTGTGTGGTCGGATCATGACCTGTGGCCGACCGTCCTGTGTGTGTGTGATGAGTGGCTGTCTGGGGGGCAAAGGTGGTGGGGACATGGCAGGAGAACCTTCTCTACCTGGAGAGACAGGGAAGTTGGTACCTGCAACACTGGCGCTATGTGGTCGGTGAGGGGGATTAGTTATCACGTGCACTGTTGGAAGAACGCAGTTGGGTTGTGAAGACGTTAATGGTTTGGTCAAGGTAGCTTCTGATGAGGGACCTTGGGGGTCCAGTGTGTTCTCATAAGGGTTGCTGTCTCTTTGGGGAAACTGAAGGAATCTCTTGTCAGTCTTACATGGTAGAGACGTCGGTCTCACAGGTAGCTTATTTGCCTTGTGGAAGCGAAGACTTCCATTGGTTACGATCGGCCGTCTAGGTGGGACTGTAGAACCGCTGAGCTTAGCTCCAGAAGTTTTCAGTTCTTTGACAAAATCAGAGTATGATGTAAGGTCAAAGTTCTGTTTTGACTTGTTACCTGCTCTCTGTCTTCCACAACCCATTGACGGTATTCTTGACCTCTGAGCAGCAAAGTCCTCCTGTACTCCTTCTGTGGACGTGGGCAAGGAATCATGACACACCATGGCCGTTGTCCGGTCAGCAGTCTCTCGGTCAAGGCTCTTACAAGAATTTTGACCTTGCACATACAGGCTACTGTCCTCTTGCTTTGGCATATGAGTCCTCAGTGAATTTGAACTCGTTGGCCCATCTTCTCCTTGCTCAGCATTTCCGGGAGAGACACGCCCAACAGGACAGGACTTTTGTTTGGGCTCAGTCCGAGAGCTCCCCGTTGGTGACTTCATGATGCTGCCACAACCCATTGCACTGTCCCAGGTCGTGCCCACTTCTTGTTCAGCCCCCAGGGAGGATGTGTCCAGTCTTTGACTGACCAAGAGCTGAGCGGCTGCAGACCTCTGGACAAGGCTCATCATCAGGTTGTGGGAGTGCAGGTGGGTCCCTCCGGGAAGCCAGACTTGTCCCATGGAAGGACCCGCGTGACCTGAGTGGACAAGACAAAGCACAGAGGTTTAAACACTTGGACAACTTGAAAGACTACAAGAATGAGAGAAAAGGTTAAAAGAAGAGATGGAAAGTTACAAGATATAACATATAACAAAATGTTAATATAATTGGAAAATCTGAAGGACTTCAAGAAAGAGAGAAAAGGCTGAAAGAAGAGATGAAAAGTCTATTTTCCTTCAAAAATACCCCTCCCCCCCAACCCTATACAACTTACTAAGAAATGACAATTCTGAAAGTGGAATGGAGTCCAGATCAAAATGCCTCACATATCATCAAGATATGAGAAGCATTGAGGTGAAATCAGGCACTCGTCAAAATATTGAAATCAAAGAAACTGTTGCTTTTCTGGGCGTCAGGCAGTTTCGTTCTAATTTTCTTTTATTGACCCAGCACCTTTTACGTTCATTTAAAAACACATATCAGTGTGGATTTTTACTGAAAAACATTGTTTAAAGGAACAAAAAAATGTGATTTTTAGTTTCCAAGGCCTCTCAAGCAATGGAAGTTAGCAAACTTTGGCAGCCATTTTCTTGATATTTTTACATCTGAAACAAAAGCGACCCCCATCTCCTTCAATCGCCCAATATCTTGACTGGTACAAAAGATAAACGGATATTTGTTCCATCGAAAGCAAGGCAAATGGACAGGCTTTAAGATGATATCAATAACTCTATATGTCCCAAAACTGACGGGCACCTGATCGCACCGCGTCGTGACACATATAAAAATAAAAGTCAAGAATAGATAAATTCGGAAGCCTGAGAAAAGTGTCACGAAAAATTAAAGAGGACAAACAGAGAGAGAGAGCGCACAGAAAAACAAGTAAAAAAGGTTTGTGGTACAACAGTTTCGTTATGGATTACAAATTCGATAGGCCTAACATGTAAAAAAAAAAAAAGGAGGACCATTTCACGAGAGACAAACTAGAACCTAATAACAAGTCAAAGCAGTTAGAAAACCATTGGAGCGCTTAACTTTAAGCCAAAATCTGTATCAAATATACTTTTGGTATTTGCTTGCGAGAACTTTCATAGGGCCTCTGTCTAATGTCTACTCACAAAAAAATCCTACGTCAGCAAAATCAGCTTTATATACGATTGGGCATCAGCTTGCTCTAGAAAATTCTGAGATTACATGGCAAGGGGCGATTGCATTTATTTGCCTTTCCCAGGATCTGAAAAACAGTACACTGTTTCCAGCATGCAAAACAAGTCATAAATAATAAACAAATTTTCATATTCTTGGTCCCATGCACACAATGCTCCTGAACTTCAATGTGAAAAAAAATTCAGGGCACAAATGCAAACCCCTTCAATGGAAATTTCCTAAATTACAGAAATAAAAAAATATTGTTGCTAAAACTTGCAGCAAGCAATATCTCCAAGAAAAAAAGGTTACCTTTGCGTCCAAAGAGTCTCTGGCATATCATGTGATCCAGACCAATGTCACTTGCCAGACTGTCATCGCTCTCCTCACTGGATGCTGCAAACAGGTCAAGGTCATTGGGCTTCTGAAAGAGACAGTAAGAAGGTGGATGAGAATCAACAATCCTCACACTGCCCTGGGGCAAGTAAAGAGCACACCCCTTACTGCTTTGAACCCCTGTGATGTGCACACTCTTTAGCAAACATACCACAATTCTTTTTTTCCCCCACTCTTTTTCCTAATGTAGGTGTTTAACGCCCCAAACAATACAATTTAGATCATAGCAGGTGGGCTTCAACCCTGTCTGTCAGGGCCAACCTAGGCTGAGAGTAATACAACATCCCAGTAGAAAGACAAAAATACTCAGTAAAAATTCTCTCTACATGGAAATCAAACTTAGATCTTTTGCATGTGACTGCAAAATGCCTTCCCTTTACATCTCAAACACCAGTACTACAATTCTGTTCACTAAAGCTATGTTAACTAAGCAGCTATTTTGGTAATAAATCACTTTTGATTTTTACTTAGGTGTAGAATTAGAGAACTCAAATTCTTGGAAAGATCAATAACCATAACAACACACATGAACTGATGGTCAAAGTTTGAAATTTGCCAACACACTACAAAATACTTTAAAAACATTGTACATAGGACAATTTCAGACATAAGCATAAAATTTAATGGTATTTAAAAGACCCCTTTGTTCACTTGAGGAGACTACTTTGAATAAACTTGTACAAAGAAACACTTTCTTTAACAGGACAATTTCCTCCAGATTTTATGACTTTTGAAACCAACCAGACAAACTTAAGTTTTGGTGGATAAAATATTATTAAAAACATTTAAGTGAACTTTTTCAGATTGGAAAAAACATTTCTAACCACAACTGTTTGATATCCAGCACAGTTGAGAAGGACTTGGTATCCTCAAGAAAGTCGTTTTACTTTATTTTCCTCAGTTTTCCCACCTGCAAATATGTACTCGTGGTGAAATCAGGCGCTTGTCAAAATAATGAAATCAAAGAAACAGGATTTTTACGCCAGTTAAGTAATATTTGTCGAACTTTTGTTTCTTAGCTCAGCATATTTTATATCCGTTAAAAACTCATGTCCATGTGAATTTTACTGAAAAACAATGGTTAAAGGCACAAAATATATAATTTTTCAGTTTCTAAGGACTCTCAAGCTATGGAATTTACCAAACTTTGGCGGCCATTGTCTCGTTAATTTTACCTCTGAAACCAGGCGACCCTCACCTCCTTCAATTGTAACTATCTTAACTTTTATTCTAGATAGATGAATTTTTTTTTCACCAAATGCAAACAAACTTTAAGATGTTACCAATAACACCCGAAGCCCAAAAATTGACGAGCACCTGCATTCCACTGCGCCGCGTCATATATGTGAAAGATGCAATGATGTATGTCACACATGGGACTGAAACGGTAAGCTGGAAAGAATGAACAGGTCAGTCTAGGGAGTTTTTACTAAGGCATTTATTTAAGCCTTTTATTGGAAGAAATCCGAGACTATAAACAGTAAACAGTTTTCAACATTAGACAAAAGTAGACTTGGCAACCCCTAAACAGCTTACCATATGTTCTCCACAATTTGCTCCTCCGATGGCTTCTTCTTTTTCCCCATCCTGCCGTCCGTCAATCCATCTGCGGAGCTGTGGGTCCTGCTGTCCATCAAGGACTGGTGCAGACACATGCTTCTCTGGACTGACTGTTTTTGACAAACTCCAGTTCTGACCGTCAGGACGAAATATGAACGACGACCGTTCACCATGACGAAGGCCTTCTGTGTCTGCCAGTGGCCAGGTGTCTCTTTTGTGACTTCCAAAGTCTGGCGAGCACAAGGGAGAGTTCTCTCCCATAGCAGGAGAAACACCAGAATGTCGAAATTTCACGTCCCCTGGAGAGTCTCTTTGGCTGGAAGCTTCTACGAAATTTTCATTTCCTGGCAGCACAGATGTCTTTCCATTGAATGAGGCCACGAAAAATTCATCATCCAGCCAGTGATATTCATCTGTGGAGCCAGACTTGGTGGCATTCTGCACCACAAGGTAAGGCACTGGGTCAGTTCCTCCTACTGCAGATGACTCGTGCTCCCCGCTGTTAAGACTACACAAACTTAGATTGAGAGCATCGACAGTCTGAGACAAACTAGCTATTTGCTTGGAGATCTCATCAAATTCTCGGAGAGCCGCTTCGTCTTTCTCATCTTCTCCGGAACTCTGCTTCCTTTGTTCCCCGACCTCAGCCTCATTCTCCGCACCACTTCCCAATGTGTCGAAACTTTTGTTACTCAGAAGTTCAGTGAGGCTAGTAAAGGATTGTCTGTCCCGACTGCCGGCAGACAACAGGCTCCGGTGGGAGTCCACTTTACACAGACTATAGAACTGGCTTTTGAACTGTTTCTGCTCCTCAACAGATAGCCTTGGGCTCTCGTCCCCTGTGAGGTCGACCAAAGATCCGACAGAAGTCTCCTCGTCCAGCTCCGTGACATCTGAGAGGTTGAGACGGAGAGACCGCGAGTACCCCGGGTAGCCATGATGCGTGATATGAGGCCGGAACATTGGGAGGAAGCATGGTGCAGTGTGTGAGTCCTCCTCATTGGCTGTGATCAGGAAGTGCTGAAAAAAAACAAGAACATCAAATTAACTTCTTGGGGATTAGCATAATTTGTGTTGGGGGAAAAGTATGTGTGGGGACAATAAAAGACTTTTGGAAGGGGAAATTTAAGTGAAGTGTATATGGGGGTAATATCTGAGTCAAGAGATCTAAGAATCCAATGAAATGGTCAAATGAGATTTACCTACTGAGAATTTCTCTTTACACTTCTTCTGGAGTGAATAGCAGTAACTTTTTACTAGATCTAGTTAAAGGCACCACATATATAACTTTCTCATTACCCGTTGGTGTTCTTAAACACTAACAAGCCAGCTCTGCTGAGGACAAGCCATTAAGACTACCATGTACGAACGTGCCTCATATGCCTCCACAGGATTAGCAAACATAATTTCAAAATATTAACAAATCAATGATCCCCAAGCAAGAAAGGTAACAACATTTGTCTCTTAGCATAAACAAACTTGGAAACACTTCCCAGTCTTTAATTGACAAAGAATACATCGGCCAGTGCCCTGCAATGTATAAACACTTCCACACCTTACTCAGCTGCACATGTCCAGTCAAATCCAAATGAAGGGAGAAACAAGAAAACTCAGGTGAGTAAAGACCTACCTACAAAATAGTTTTTGGCTTATATTATTTGAATCGTGACATGGGTTGGAACGTGTTCACTAACCTCTTCTGGCACATCTAAATTAATGTCCAGGGCTAAAACTTGATGAGTCATCCTATAGAGTCATGGTAAATGAGCTATACTATGGAAATATGTGGGAGGTAAAGCGCTTCATTTGTTTTTCTCAAATTGCCAAAAAGTGACATGCCTTGTTTTCCATTGTGCCCTTCAAATCTTACACTGGACAGACAGTATACAGCATCCCCTCTTCTATGCACCATCAAACTATGTATAGATCAGTTGTTCATTATGTGAGCCCATTATGTTAGTGTAGGAAAGAGCACTAAAAGTTATCACACAGGCAGCAACTTTACCCCCCCCCCCCAGCTCTATCCTCACCCTGTCTCTTCCTCTCATTCATTTTTCATCTCCCAGTCACGTACTCTTCCTCCCCTTCTCACTCGCTCTTTCTATTCCTCTCACTCAATTTCTCTCTCTCTCTCTCTCTCTCTCTCTCACTTTTAATTTCCTTTCCAGTAGAGATAAAGAAATGCAAACACAAGTTCTTTTTCTTCATTCTAATTCCACAGTTATGTCCCTTGTGTAAGCTTGCTTTGACTAACTTTCCTCGCACAATTTCCGCACTCTATTTATTATAATATAAGTAGAGGGTTTTACGGGCTCGCAACTGCACAAGGTCATATGAGCGCCAAGGAGTGGGTGTCAACAGAAAAGTCCTTACAGGGAATCGGACTTACTCTGCTCACGTCTCTAGCTTCAACAGCGCAAGGTCTGCTTCGACTATCAAGGCACCCCGGAAATAGCAGGTCACAAGGTCAAAAGAAGTAGAGGAAAATGAAAATAGTAAGGATTAGGAAAGAAATAGCAGCAGTTCCCTGTTGCAGATCAGGCACAGTTATGAGCGTGACATAATGAATCAGCCCATTTACAATTCTACTGTGCTTGAACGAGAAATGTCCCCCCTTGGGGAACGGCCTAAAGGCACTACAGTCAGTGGCACTGCCCCGGGGGGTTTCCCCACTCTATTATTACGGTTCAGTAAGGCACCAAAACAGCTCATAATAAGTAACACATTCATCTCCTTATTAGGACACACAGATAAGGACTAAGGGTTCAGTACATATGAATAAAACAAAATGAACAGGGTTACATCCTATAAAAGAAAGAAAGGCTAAAGATGAAAAAAATAACCGTAGTTCGGAAACCTACATTTCATTTTTTAAAGGTGAGAAAAAGTTGCTACATCAGGCAGACTATGGACAGGTAATCTTTGGTTAAGGTGTAGGCTTCGGATGAAATGCAAAGTATGATTCTTTTGTACAGTTCAAAGGTCAACCTACCTTGAAAGCTGGTGAGACATTAGCTGATCTGTGTGCGTTGTGCCACCAGTCATCAACAGATGGTCTGGAGCTTAGGGGAGACCTGATCTCCTCTAAAGATGATGTAGCCCGCAGTGTATGGGGATTGCTTCCCTGGGAATGTATCCATGTCTGTTGAGAGCCAGGGCTTACTTGTCTCCCCAGGCACAGATTTTGCTCTGAGCGACATCTCCGAAGGCGAAAAGAGTCCTGACCTTCTTGCGCAAGATCATGACAAGACGAAAAGGGAGATGACGTTTTTAAAGACCCAGATGCGAAAGTGTGCGGATCACAGAGTGTCTGCTGATGGGGTAGTGGAAGGTCATTGCCCACAAATCTGGGCTCGGGATAAAAAGAATTTGTTCCTTGTTCATTTACAGGAAATGATGGTGATAATTCCCTTGTTTGAGACGGGGCAGCATGGGAGCTGCTTGTCTCTAGAGATTGATATTCTCCTGAAGTGTTGAGTCTGAGCTCACTTTCACTAGCATCGACATTCTTACTCTGCTCAACTAGCTTAGCACCACAATTGACAGTCACTTTTGACACACAACTTTCATCTCCTGAAATATCTGAGTCAGAGGAGAACTGCCGAAATGCCTCATTGTTCATGATGATCATAGACCTCAGAGGAGCATTCAGCGAAGACTTTGGACCTTCTGAGTTTTGACAGGAGGTCTTGGGATTTGAGGTGCCAAATGCTGGTGTGTTGTGGGATGCAGTTTCAGTGGAACTGAGAAATTCATTTATTTGGTCACTTTGCAAAGATTCCTTCTCTACATTGAGACTGTTGCTGTTCTTTCCTCTGTCCTGGGCTGTATGGCTCTCACAGCTGTCCGCCTTTTGCCTTCTGCCCCAAAGTTTTTTTTGTGTTCCTTTTTGCATGGAGCTTAATACTGCTGTCTTTGATGCCTCTTTTCTCCCCTTGCTTTGTAGTGCACGGCCTGTTGGTGGTTTGGTTGGGTCACGGGGTGAGCTTTTCACAGTTGTTGAGCCACAGAAATATCCTTTAGGAAGCCGGTTTGGTGAATCAGGAACTGCCTTAGTGGTCGTGGCTTTGGATGTGGATGATGGTGCTTTGGCTTTTGGAGACCTGGGACTGGTGCACGGCACGGGTATGGCACTGCCGGGGAAGGATGAGCGTTTGCTGGGTGACCTTGGCCTGGAGCAGTCAAGCGAAGATGTTGATGACCGGGGAGAAGGCAATGACCCTCCACGAGTTTGTTGTAAACTGAAGTCATCTGAATGTCGCCGAGACATCCAAGGAAGTCTTGAGGGTTGAGCAGATTTTCCTTGCTCAGAAGAGGCAGACGATGAAACACTTGCACTGCGACATCTGCCCTTTGAAAGTCCAGCACACGGCATTTGCTCACAGCTGTCGTCAGCAGAAGGCACTGGTGATTTTGTCAGAGTCGCATTTTCGCAGTCAACATTCCCTGCTGTGGCCACACTGGCAGCGGACGCATAGGTCCCAGACAAGTCTCCACTGGATGTAGAGACCACTGAGGACAGACTGACATCTGCTTCAGGTGTACAGAACACAGAGCCCTCTAAGACAGAGTCATCATTTACGCCTCTTGGGGTGACTGGGCTCTGGGTTTTTGCATCTCTTAAAGTACCCAGAAGGGATTCTGAGAAAGGCGGTTCAGAGTCAGTCTCAGAAAGTTTACGACACAAGCTGTCACCAAACTTGTCCAGAATCTCTGGATGGATGTCTGAAGACATTGTGGAATATCCATCATCTTTTCCCACAGACCGTTCAGTACTCAAGTTTTCACAACTTGAGTCAGATGAATGACATTTAGGGGGCAAAGATGTTCCGATGCTGTCTGAACGAGTGCGGGACTTAAAGTCACCAGTGTCTTTTAGTGACAGTCTTACTACATCATCAAGGGCATTGGTGCTCAGTGGCACTTGGGGCAAATGACTCTGCAGCAAATATCCCACTATGACATCAGTATTGCCTGGCCCTGGAAACTCTGATGCTGATTCTTGATCTTCAGTCTGACCAGAGTCCCCCTTTGCAGCCTTACTTGGTTTCTTTGCGATTGGAGGCGGGATTTTGGAAGCGCTCTTCGACTGGGTATCACCACTGCCTTTGCTTAAAGGTAAACTCTTTTTGCTGTTTTCAGATGTTGGCAACTGAGGTGCACGTTCTGACCTCCTCTCCACAGTCAATGACCTTGACCCTGGACCCCCTCTGCCACCTACCACTTCTGGGGAAGATTTACTGTCCGAGTGACCAGTGGCATGAGGAGCGCTGACCCCTCGCTGGGTGGAGGACTTGCTCACACCAAGTTGACCAGGCCGGACGAGACGAGTTGAACTGGATGTGCTGCTACTGCTTGACGGAGAGTCAGGTGATGCAATCATATGCGGCGACGTTCTCATGTCAGCGAGAGAAACACCGGAGTTGTGCAGCCAGGGTGGGGCCGGGCGGTGGGGCATCGAGGGAGATGGTGATGGGGAGGACTGAGACAAACTTCCTTTGCTAGCATAGCCAAGGTCCTGGGACTTTTGGCTCAAGTTCGGAGATGGAGATGACGAGTGTTGACAGTGACCCGTCACATCTGCGTGAACCTCAGCTGACACAACTGTGGCATTGGGCCTCACAGGGGGAGAGGTGGCAGAAGTCAATGCTATTTTTGACTTCGTCTGTTGGGATCTACTCTTCAATGGCACTAGATTTCTAACTGTGGCTTTCTCAACCACACCTTTCTGAGCTGAGGGGTTGACTCCCTTGGTGTCAGCAAACCCACTTCGGGAGAATGGTGGTCCATACTTGGAGTGGTCACCTTTCTCGTAAAACGAGCCCTGAAGCAATGGTATGCCAGAGGCGTCTGGAGAGGATGACGTTGACCTTGAACTTGAGGAAGACGTTGAGTGACCAGCTTTGTTGCTTGCCTCGAGGGCTTTGTTAGAAATAGCTTGCCCCGAAAGGTTGTCCAATCTTTTTTGCGGAGACAAACGTACTGAGGACCAGTCTGAGAAGAAATCATCATCAATGGCAACCTCGCCTTCCATACTACTATCGAGCAACTCATTGAGTGACATGGTGGAGGCGGTGCTAAAGTCTCGAGACACTGGTCTCGAGTCACTGTCCTCATCACTGTAATCATAGTAGTAATACTGACTGGAAGCATGAGAGGGGGACTTGGGGGTGGGACTTGTTTCTGCAAAGGGATTCCTGAGAGCCGGAGTTACATTTGCATAGTTTTTAGAAGTGTGCTGAGGTATGCGTCGGGAAGACTGAGAATTTGGAGGATTGGTTCTTGGAGGAGAGGAAAGTTTTGATTTGTCTTTTTTTTTAATATCAACATTACGAGGAGTCTGAGGAGTGGAGGTGATATTATCCTCAACAGAATGTTTCGAGAGAAGTTTTGCAAAGTCTTTGTTGAATGCTTCAAAGCTGGAATGGTTTGGATCTGTGTGAGGTAATAAAGCGGAGTCTGTGCCATTCCAGGTCGTGTTCAGGTCCACTGCATGAGGTGTGTTGGCCACCCCATTGCCGAGCTGCCATGGATTAAAGCTTTCTGCACTTTCCATTTGACCAATTGCATCAACAGACGCAGATTGTTTCAGTCTCGGCCTGGATGCGTGACTCCTGTCTTGAGTCTCAGAGCCTCTCCTACCTCGCACCGCGCCATGTTCAGCCTTTCTCACATGGCTCATGAGGCTAGACATGCCACGCTCTAGGCTCCTTGTACGCCGTTCGCTGATACTGATGTGTTTCACCTTGGGGCTGGTGTTAGTTGCTGGGAACTCTGTCTCAATCTTCATCTGAATGATCTGCTCCTTCATGTCTGACACTGATGGGCTGGTTGTGCTGGAGGAACTGGATGAGCTGGCACTGACCTCCCGGGTACGTCCAGGACTCACGGCCAGCTTCTCTTTCAGCCACGGTGGAGGGGAGCTAAGCTGTGGCTTGCCAGGACTGTCGTCGATCATCTACAAAAGTGAAAAGACAAGAAAAGCAATGCTGTTAGTTTGCTTAAATAAAGAGAAATACACCCACACAATAACAGTCATTCAGTGCAGGGGAAAAGGGAGAAAAGCAGACCAAAAAAAATCGAAAAATGGTAGTAGAACGAACTAAATGGCACCCTACAACCACCAGCGAAGATAAGAGAAGAAAAGGCCATATGATCGTCTCTGTAAAAGAAGTTTCTTTACAGTGATGGAAACAAGAAACATCCATTCAAGTTCACACATTGAGACTAATACATATATTTGATTAAAAGATAGGACCATTAAAACCATATACATGATAAATTACAGTAACTGTCAAAACAGAGCATACAATGGTTCTATAGCTATGTCCAAAAACTGAAATGTGTTTGCACACCTCAACAAAACATTTTGTCATATATAAGAGGCAAACGACAATCAATTCCCTTATCCTTTAATCCATCTCACAAATATAACAACCCCATTATACCTGACGGGTAGTTCCCTTTGCTCATGTATACATACTAGGAGACAAGGAACGTAAAGCTGGAGAAATTTCTAGACTAGACTGAGCAATAATCTAGTATGAAAAGTAGATATCCAGTAAAGGAAATGTAACATAGAGCTGTCACTTAACAACCAAGGAACCTGGGCTCCAAAGGGGAAAAAAACACCTATGGAACTCTCAAGAATCACGAGAAACTACATAGTGTCCTACATACAAGAAACATCCATTCAAGTTCACACATTGAGACTAATACAATTTGATTAAAAGATAGGACCATTAAAACCATATACATGATAAATTACAGTAACTGTCAAAACAGAGCATACAATGGTTCCATAGCTATGTCCAAAACTGAAATTGAGATGGTCCCAGACAGACAGTACTCTGGCTACTCCTGATGTTCAACCCCCCCCCCGTACAAAAACGTTCTCAATACTCACAATCTCACTGCACATGCTCTGTAATGACTCGGCATTGTCCAGAAAGTGCACAGTCATCTCCCCGTGTGGCATACTCACTGCCCCTGTCGTGCCAGATGCTGCACTCGAGTGACAGACGTGTGTGTGCTGCACCTGGTGAGGTCAAGACCAAAGCTATTTAGCTACAAAAATGGAAATCAAGTAAGGCTTGCTTTATCTAAACTTAAAATAACCTTTATCACTTGATGCAAGCAGAGCTGAAATCTTTCGTTACAAGGCTCTTGTCACTCAAAAGGCATCTTTGTTGTAACAGTTAGGCTGTTGCGTGTATAAGATATGAATTTGATTCCAGGTTGGAGAAGTCATTTATTGGATATCTCCATCCATCTGCTGGGATATTGTATCTCACTCACTCTAGGTTGATACTGACAGGTAGGATCATATCCATGTGGCCCACCTCTAAAATCATACTTAAATCGTGACAATCTGAGTCATAAAAGAATTTACAATTACAACTTAATTCATTAGAAGCGGGGTCCCTCCCTACCTGAAGTACAGAGTCGGAGGTGAAGCGGACCCGTTGGTGAAACAAAATATTCAGGTGTTTGTTCTGCAGTTCCAGGTCTTTGACACGGCTTTGAAGTTTGAGGCATTCCTCACGGAGTGTCTGTTGAGACGAAGATGAAGAAGTTTGATACATTAGTCCAGGGACAGAAACTGCACAATGGGGCG